CCACCACCACCCTTCACCACCACCCTCCACCACCACCACAATCGTCCATACACCACCACCGTACACTACCACCATTAATTTATATAGCAATCTACAGACATTAAAAACAAAGAGTCTTCTTCTTGCAGACCGCAGACCTTCGGTCCACCACTTCTCCTGCAGATGTCTGCAGTAGTGGTCCGCAGACTGCAGACCTTTTCCTGCAGAAAAAACAAACAACCCCTTCATCTCTTAATTTAAATATTTTTATTTTTTTATTTCCAAAATAAGAAGAAAATTTGGGACGTTCAAAAAAAAGAAAATGAATAATGAGAAATTAAAAAAGGAAAAAGAAAGTACAAAAGATACTATTAATGAAAAGGGAAAACCTCGTCTCTTGATACACTTCTTCGTAAGAATCTTTAAAAATTTTAATTTTTTTATAAGATTCTTTCTCGATGACTAGAAAAACAATTTTTTTCGTAGAAATCATCCTAAATAGGACTAAAACATAGAGAAAAGTACCAAAATAGGGCTTTCATGTTTTTTTTCCCGGAATAGGACTTTGTACTATGGTAATCTGACTTTGCATTGTGGTAATGTGGCAGTGTACATGTGCAAATTACTATATTTTTTTGGTAATGTATATGACCATGTTTGGTAATGTAAGTCCTATTTCGGGAATAAAAACATGGAAATCCTATTTTGGTATATTCTCAATGTTTTAGTCCTAGTTTGGTCTTTCTCCATTTTTTTCGTGGAAGCCAATAAATTCAAAAAATCCTTTTTTTATCAATAACATTAAAAAGAATAACCATTTTTAGACATCTAAAAATAATACTTCGTAATAGCATTTGGGTATCCTGAAAACTCAGAAAGTAATACGGAGTACTAGCGTACTCAGAAAAAGTACTGTTGGCGTATTTACAAATAGAGTATATGTTAATTTCTTCATTTCATTTATTTTTTGAGGAAAGATTTACACGAATATTTCAAGAAATCTGTGATTTTATATTAATACTCCGAAATTGAATAATTTACATCGCTACTCCCAGAAATTGTTTAATTTTATACAAATACTTTTAGGCCTGGGTTGGGAAAACCGAAAACCGCAAAGCGAACCGAAACCGATCGAAACGAGCTAGAAAAAAAACCGAACCGAAAAACCGAAACCGAATGTAAAAAAACCGAACTGAACCGTTAGTGCTTGGTTCTGTTTTGGTTTTCACTTTGAAAAACCGAACCGAACCGAATAAACCGAACTTTCTTAGATACTTCGCTTTTTTTATATAAATATATGTGATATGTAGAAAAATCATAGAAATATAAATGCAAATAAATTACTAGTCGATTAAAATTATTTTCTTAGCTATTAATTAAACATTTTAACCATACTATTATAAACTTTTAAAAAATCTAAGAATATAAACACCAATAGCTAATCCAAATATAGAATTATATTAACATTAAATATTGATACGAGTAATTTACATATTTACCTAAAAAAAATACTTTGATGTTACAATGAAAATGAAAGTATTATACCAAAAAACACAAATTCTTCGTAATTAATTTTACATACGATGTCTGTGGAAGTATTTGGAATCTCCTAAATGTTTGTTGGGTACTCAACACATATTTTTTTTATGTAAAATTGAACTGAATGATACAATAACCTTCCGTTTGATTTTTGTTTTTGTGTAAAACTCAAACCAAAAAACCAAACCTAACACAACATATTGTTATTGCTCCATCGAGTTAGTGTTTTTACAATTTTTTAATGCTTATAAATTTCTACTTTTATAAACCGAAAAAACCAAAATAAAAACTGTATAAAACCGAACCGAATAAGCAACGGTTTACATATTTTTTATGCAAAACCGAACCGAACCGCTAATTTATCTTCCGTTTTGTCTTTGGTTTTGGGTGAAAACCGAACCGCAAAAATCGAACCACCCCTATGCTGCCAACTAAGCAGAATACGTGATATGTTAAATGATGACTGTAAATTATTAAGTGGAGTATGTGTTAACAACTACGGAATGATAAAATATAAAAGAAAATAATGTTTAGACAAAAAAAGAATTTTAAATATAAAGTCTTGACTAGATCAACTTTAAAATTCTCTAATTTTTATGTGAAACACTATTCATAATTTATATGATTACAATATAAATAATTTACTTTCAACATTAACACGTTTTTATTTCAAATCGACATGGAGGGTGTTAATTATAATGTGTTCAAGGTATTTTCTTTCTTTTTGTAATTAACCACTAACTCATACTTAATAATTATCCAGTCAGCATTTAAAATGCCACGTATTTACTTTTTAAAGTGTTTAAGTAGAAAGAAAAAGTTTATAATTGTACTGAAATAAACCATAAGGAATTAGTATTAAAAGTCATTATGACTTTTTAAATTTATTGAATAAAATATAAACTTTTTTTTTTTAAAAAAAATTCTTAATCCAAATCATTGAAGACGACCTCTGTGGAGTCAACGTTTCATCTCAATTTCCCAAAACCGCAAACGGAGTATAATCCGAACTTCCCCCACTCACAAGCTCAAGTCTTCTTCGCCGATGGATTTCCGGCGCCGAGCTCAGCGGATTCGTCTTATTTATCTCATCTCACTCTTCTTCATTATTCCTCCATCGTCACAATCTGGCCAGGTACTCCCATTATCGACAAACCAATTCATTTTCGCGTGAAAGCCATTGAATAGTAAAACGGCAATACCTATGAGGACTATCGGCAATATGCCAATATTCATTCGAGAATCGGTATTTTGTATATATCTATCTATATATGTATGATTATATGTATTTGTATCTTGCAGTTTTGTGATTCTGGAATCAGTGGAATTGGATATGGAGAATCTAGATGCGGCATTTCATCGTCGAAGATACTGATCAAGGGAGGGACGGTTGTGAATGCTCATCATCAGGAGGTGGCCGATGTGTATGTGGAGGATGGCATCATTGCAGATGTGAAGCCTCAGATCAAGGTATTATAATGTTTACTAAGTTTCTGTTTTTGATGATGAAATGACCGGAATTTACATCACGGAGGTTTCTGCTGAATGATTGATCACTGTCCAGCTCTCGAGGATAAGCCTCACTGTCTCAGTATTTTACTTGCTTGGTTTGGTTTAAAAATTAGAACAAGCTGCTGGGAAACAAATTGTGTAAGTACAAAATAAATATGAGAGGTTTTGGGCGATATGGAAAGTGTTCAGGTGCATCTTAGATTGTTAGGTTATGGAAAGTGTACATACTATAAAATTTTCTATATATAGCCATATGTTGGCGCGGAGTTTGCCATCAGTGTTACCATGTAAAATTTATCTCTCTAGCTCTTGGCTTTCTTTGTGAAATCTACATATTTTTTCTTCATTTTGATTAGTGAATGAGAGTGTTCGATCCTAACAGTGCAGTTATGACGTGAAGGATTGTAAGTTGTAATGGAGCTAATTAAATGGTTGAGCAGTATATAACATCAAATCTCCAAGAACTGATGATCTCATTTTGATAGACCGTTGATAGGGCAATGACAAATTTCAAACCAATCCTAATTCCTAATAATGTGTCTTGTGCCGAAATCAAAGAGGCTCTATATGTTCGAGACAGAATCCTGACTTTTTTTTTTGTTTTCAATTTAATTTTGTTGTGGCACAAATACATTTTTAGGACATAGGGAAGTAGTTGGAATAAACCATATTTATATGCTGGTGTTGATGGATGATTCGTGGAGTTCTCACAATAAAACTTGAAAGGAGGCAACTAAAAATTTTTTCTCATTATCAATTAAGGTGCAACTTCTAATAGATGATGGCATTGGATTTCAGAACACATATCCAAAAAAAAGTAAATTTATCTTTGATGATTTTCCACCTGAGTTTTAAAATGACTGAATGAAAAACAAACATATATATACAAAGAAAACTAAATGAAAATTAAATTGCTAAAATTTGTTATTCCCCCCATTCCTAATTTGATGCCTAATACTCCCTCCGTTCCATAAAACCCTTCCTCTTTCGCTTTTTTCTAATTCCTTAAAACACTTCCACTTTCTATTAAAAAACCACTTTTACTCCTACTTTTTCATACCCTACCTATCACATCATACTTTTTCACTAATAACCAAACTATCACATCTTACTTTTACCCATCACATCAGGGGCAAAATTGGAAAGTCAACCAAAATTACACTTTCCTTATTTTGGCCCAAAGTCAAAATAGGAATGGTCTTAAGGAACAGAGGGAGTATGATTTTGGACATTTTTCAGTTAAGTAGAAAATGTGGTTGGAATTTGTTTAGAATAAAAGAGAAAATATTATATGTAGTATTATAAACCACATAACACTTGCCTAAAAAAGGAAAAATGAGACTAAAAAAGGAAAGAATGAAGATTAAAAAGGGGCGGGGAGTATATGCTAGGATTGCTAGCCTATGTTTGGACTACCTTGCCAGTGGAAAAGATGATTTTTATAATATAACGATTCAACACCACATCCAAACGTTAGTGCAATTTGGCTTGACAGGGGATGTATTCTTGCAATTTAAGTTTCTGCCTTATTTTCATTTGAGAGACCCATATATGAGTTTGATCAGCACCATCTGCAGGTTGGTGATGATGTGAAAATTATTGATGCAACTGGAAAGTTTGTCATGCCAGGTGAAACTTTCTCCCCTTATGGGGCATATTAGTGGACATCATTGTAGCTAGGAATTAAGTTTGTATAACACTTTTTGCTCCTCAATGAGACAAACTTTTTTATGTTAACTGAATTTATTGATTTCATTCATACGTGAACTATGAACAATGGAATTATTTTCTCTACACAGTTTTTACATGTTTTCTAGACCCTACTATAGTGGGATTCAACTGGGTTGTTGTTGTTGTAGTTTTTACATGTTTTAATGCGTAGATCAATTAGACTACAAAAAGAAAAATAAAGTAGAGAAATTCTTAAGTTTTTGTAAATCCCAGCCATAGCTGAGTTTAAAATTTTAATCTTTGCTTTCTCCGCACAATGATTCAATTTACATGATGTAGTTTTTGGTTATTGAATCCTCAATTTTCAATTAATGTACACGAGTGGTAATTGTCAAATTTTGATTCAAAATGCAACATTTTAGGGGGCATTGATCCACACACGCACCTGGCTATGGAATTCATGGGTACTCAGACAATTGATGACTTTTTTAGTGGACAGGCTGCTGCTTTAGCAGGTGGAACAACAATGCATATAGATTTTGTTATTCCTGTGAATGGTAGTCTATCTGCAGGATTTGAAGCATATGTTGATAAGGCAAAGAATTCATGCATGGATTATGGTTTCCACATGGCAATCACAAAATGGGATGAAATTGTTGCAAGAGATATGGAAATCATGGTCAAGGAAAAAGGTATGTAGACCCATTTTATGATTCTTTTACTGACTTTCCCCTTTCAGAACTCACATTAGACTTTTTCACTATACTTTATCATTGTCGTCTTTCTTTCAGATTGCTGAGTTATTGTTTATCTCACATTTAGGTATCAATTCATTTAAGTTTTTCATGGCCTACAAAGGATCTCTTATGATCAATGATGAACTTTTGTTGGAGGGATTGAAGAAATGCAAGTCTCTAGGTGCCTTAGCCATGGTTCATGCAGAAAATGGTGATGCTGTATTTGAAGGTCAAAAGAGAATGATTGAACTTGGTATTACTGGCCCAGAGGGGCATGCACTGTCAAGGCCACCAGTGGTAATTAATAGACTTGTCTGGATTATGTGTCAAGTGTTGATAAAGTCATATGTTTTTGCTTTTTGCATCATGAGTTAAAGAAAATGGATTTCAATAGTATTACCTGGTTGTGTTACTTGTCTAAGAGCATCTCCAATGCATTGGCTGTGGGTTTATCCTAGGTGATATGCGAGGGAGGAAAATATCATGCCAATACTCCTAGAAATGTGTCAGTTTAGGTAAATACTTTGATATATCGAAATTACCATCGTCACTCAAACAATTTGAACATTTTTACGTTGTCACTTCGCAACCCGCCGACAGTTCAAATTTGGGTTTTATTTTGCTTATCTAGACAAAAAATACACTTGCACGGTAAGTTTTTCCTGGTCTTATTGAGTTATTTCTTGTTTTAAAGATTGTTGTTGTCAAGATAAGCAAAGCAAGACTAGAATTAGATATTAAGGTAGGTCCCAGAGTGCTGGAGTGAGCATAAAAATGTTTAAATTCCTGGAGTAACCATGGCAATTCTGAAATTTTAGAGTATTTACGTAAAATGACATATTTTTGGGAGTATTGGGATGGATCTTTCATATGTGAAAGGTAGAGAAGGCCATAATGTTAATTTAATATGAATGAAGATAGATGTAGGGAAGACAAATAAAAGGACGGGGATAGAGACAAATTTATGAATTGGCTCTATGATAGGGTCTATTGTGGACCTTGCACAGGACTGAAGAAGAGAAAACATGTTAAACGTATAACAAACCCAATATCTTCAACTCCGTTGGCATCTCGGGGTCAAGATGTATGCAATCTTACCCCTGAAGAAAACAGATAGTCTGTTTCTGCTAGACCCCTGATGCAATTTTGCACCATACCGCCCAAAACATCAATGAAAGTAAGAAGGGAAGTTTAATGTCCCATTTTGACGTATTCCATTATTTACCCAAAGCTAAAACATGGTAAAAATTGACCCCTTTAGCTCCATTGGCAATGGATTCAGGGGATTTCAAAAAAGTGAAACCAAACTAAAGGGATTTCATTTTTGTGGGCCCTATAAAAATTCCAAAATTTGGATCTCGTGTGTAATAAACCAAACTAAATGGGTCCAGTAGCATGGGAGATCTGGAGATGCTCTAAGTGTGTTATATTTGATTTCCTGTTTTTTTTATTTACATGGCTCAAACTTATTAATATAACAAATAATGCAGATAGAAGGGGAAGCTACAGCTCGAGCAATTCACTTAGCTGGTTTTATCAATACACCTCTGTATGTTGTTCATGTTATGAGCATCAATGCAATGGAGGAAATTGCTAGAGCTCGGAAATCAGGTTATTTGAAAGATACTGACTTCTTAAGCTTTTTATCATTTTAACTTAACACATTCAGATCCCTAAGCTGACTTATCACCGATATGACCATGCAAATCCACCTCTACTTGAACCCAGCGATAAGCTTTCTGTTAACATACTGTTATGAGCCCACATCAGGTCCTCCACAAATGGAGTGGAACTTAAGTAAATGCCAAACTTCCACCCATGTGCTAGCTTTTGTGGAAAACTAAAGACTGAGCTTGGTATCCAGTGTCCTGGTGCCACAACATACCACATATAGTTAGGTTGAACTTCTTTTGACACCAAAGTTTCAAGAAACATCAAGATCACATTTGTAACTTGTGAACTTGTCTAGATACGTATATTTGGAACCTGGACTTACACTTCCATATACCTTCGGTCACAATGTTTTCCATTTCTTTGTTTGAGAGTTCTGCCCTTCTGCCACCTTGCATCTCATCTGGGCTTCTTATCTGTCAGCAAGTTGTTTCTTTGACCTTTGTTCCTTGAGTTATTGTCAATTTCTCATTTGCTATATATTAATAGCAACATTGACTAGTTTTTATAGGGTTCTGAACTCTTAAGAAAAATGTTAAGATTTAATCGGATCTTTGTTCAACCATTCCTTTTTAGTGATGTTTTATATTTAAGAGTAAAATGGAGCGCCATTCTTTTTTAATCCATGTTTTTCTTCTTTTCATCTCCTTTTCTGTCTTAAACTCTTAACTCAACGGAAGGATGTTAGGTTTTGTTGATATATGTCATCACAATTTCAATTACCCATTTCACAAACATTTATGTTATCCAATTCCAATGAGGATGAAGGTTTAAGGTTATTCAGAATCTAATCTTTGTTACCCTATTGCAATATCTGTATCATAGGGCAAAGAGTCATTGGGGAGCCAGTAGTTTCAGGATTAGTTCTTGATGATTCTGGACTTTGGGACCCAGAATTTACTACAGCAGCCAAGTAGCTCTTTTTCTTCCATTTCCCTCACTGAGATAATTATCTTAAAGTTTATAAAGAAGGAAAATGTCATTATGTTTTTTTTCTTTTACTCCAGATACGTCATGAGCCCACCTATTAGAGCACCAGGGCATGGAAAGGCTCTTCAAGCAGCACTTTCAACTGGCCTTTTACAGGTATATGCAATGAGAGGCAGTTATTTATGCCATTATTCCTACCTTGCATAAATTTGGAAATGGTTTCTGGTTTCCTTGCTCCCATCAAATTAAAATTTTTAAAAGGCTTGTGATTTGTATGTTCTGACAAAGGGACTTATGTCTACTAAAAGCGATTACTTCAAAAGGAAACAAAGACTCTTGGCAAATATTAAAAGATCCCTAAATAATTTCACCAAATGGACAACTCTTTGAAAGGAAAGGTAAATAAAAAAATGAAACATGTCAAGGCTAATTGTGAATCAATCACTTAGCATTGATTTTCTATGATGATTGTTTCAATCTTGTAAGTGGAATACAATCTACACTTAGCAAAAACACATGTGCTAATGGACTGTAATTGTGCAGCTGGTTGGGACTGACCACTGTACATTCAATTCAACTCAGAAAGCCTTTGGAATTGATGACTTTCGGAAAATACCAAATGGTGTCAACGGTAATGTGACTTTTAATCTTTTTTGCATGTATGTATCTTTCTCCTCGCATATGTTGTATCACCTTTGCGCTTCAATTTCTAAAACTAATCTTAATAAGTTGCATTGCTTTTAGGTATTGAGGAGAGGATGCACTTAGTTTGGGATGCCATGGTGGTATGCTCTCATTTATAGGCTACTGGCCGATTATCAAGGTTTAGAAGTTCGTTAAAACCTTTTCATATTAAACCTCTAAGTTCTCTTTGTCCCAGGCATCTGGTCAGATATCCGTCACTGATTATGTTCGCTTCACGAGCACAGAATGGTACAATCAGGAGCGCCCTATTATCTTTCAATCATTATTCTTACAGTGTTTAGTGCAGAACCTAGAAGTTTGAAGTTTGACATCATTTCTTTACACTGTTATCTTTTTCTTGCATCCTTATCCCATCCTGATGGATTATTAATTTCAACAACATGATGCCTTTATTTTCCAGTGCGCGAATTTTCAATATATATCCAAGAAAGGGAGCAATCCTTGCTGGGTCAGATGCTGATATTATCATATTGAACCCTAATTCAAGTTTTGAAATTAGTTCTAGTTCCCACCACTCCAGATCTGATACCAATGTTTATGAGGGGAGGCATGGCAAGGCAAGTATTTTCAGACAATTTACCAAGTCTAATGTCTAGGCAAAAATTAATTAGAATTTTACTGCAGCCAATAGATCTCTTTCTGTCCTAATTTCATTGTAAATTCGAGGTGACACGAGTAAATGCTAGAAAAGTGTATCAACACAGCAAAAGGGATCGAGGAATACAGAAACTGTAGGATAAAATTAGAGAAATGTTAGTCATGTATTGCAGTTCAGAATGCCTATCTCTATAAGTAATCTGCACAAATCCCCACCTAAGCTCTGGGATACTCAACAGTTAGCACACCCCTAGCCAAATGGGACTGGGAACATCAAGGTTGCTGACACTCTACAAAATGAATCCTTAATGAGATTTACCTCACACATGCTAAATTCAAATAGAGTAGAGAACTTTTTTCACATACTCAACAGTCAAGTAGTCAACACACACCCTTAGATCCTTTTACTAAAAAAAAATTCATCCGGGAAGCTTTATTCCTTTTTTTCTTTTCCATGCAGGGAAAAGTCGAAGTCACTATTTCTCAGGGAAGGATAGTTTGGGAAAATGGTGAGCTGAATGTCATTCCAGGTTCTGGGAAGTATATTAAGATGGCACCATTTAGTTATGTTTTTGATGGGATAGAGAAATCAGATTCCGCTCACATCTCATCCTTCAGAGCTCCAGTCAAACGATATAGAGTAACAAGTTAGACAGGTTCAGTTTAACACATTTATTAGATGTCTCACACATTGATCTAGAACTTCTAGATAGAATATGCGTCTTTATATACACACATGTGTGATTTGTACGTAGTGTCCCACACGACCTCGACATCTAAAACGTCTTTGAATAGTTAGTTTCTTGGACTGGTGGACCCTAGATGCATTCGTGAGACACTTTCACTTGGAAATAAATGGCTATTACTCTATTATTCGATATATATCCCCAACTCCATTGGGATATGAGAGTCAAATGTATGTACCTACGTGTGAGGCTCTTTTCGTTTGACCCTAGATGCATTTCTTCATTTTCTCCGCAAAACTCCTATTCCATCATGTGCCCAAAAGTAAAACATTGTCAATAGTGACTCCTCTAGCTCCATTCGCACTGGACAAGAATCACTTTTAGTAGATATTTATTATGATCACAAATTGATGGGGTTTAGATAGAATCACAAATTCACAAGTATGGGCGCACAAGTGATGGGCGGGTTTTTAGAAAATTTTGCAAGCAACCCAATTAGGTTCGTAACATATATAAACCAACCCAACCCAACCCAACCCATATTACTAGCATATAGCACATATCTTACCTTACTAGCATATTGAATGATTTGCAAGTCACAGATATACTGAAATATTTTGTGTGATTGCCAAAACAACTATCTCCTTCCACATGCCATTGCCTTAGTGATCATACAATTTTTGTTTGTGGAGAAAATGTGATATTTTACATCTGTTGGAAGACTAAGAGTGCTTGCTCGATGTAAAGAAAAGACAGGCGGAGACGTATTTTCCAGTTTGAAGGTTTGTTTTCAGGGATTTGAATGCCAAGCCTTAATGAGATCCCCCACAAACAAAGAGTGAGAGAAACTTCTTTTTTCTCTGCAAAAATGAAAGTTTAAAGCAACTCAGAAATAGCCATGCACCCAGGCAAGTTTACAGCAGCTTTTAATATGGAAAGTAAAAAATCCCCTCCTCCCCCTCCCCCCAACCCTCCAAAGCATTTTAAATCCATGTGGCTTTCACCTGGGGGATAGTGACATATCTATCTGGAATATGTGTGTTTTGTGAAATTTCTTTTCTTTTCCAATGAAACATCAAACATAAGATGCACAAAAAAACTGGAATTTGCATGTGATACCACTATACAGTATGTTATACTCCGTATAAAGCATGTTTAAATTCTAAAATGTTAAAAAGTGAATTTCAGCATTCACGCAAGAATCAATGCATAATGTTATGATCCATTTGAATCTGCCCAAGGGGATATGGATCGTAATATAACATGAGTTCAAATGTTCGATTCGGAAAAAAATTGTTTTATAAAATATACACATTCTGACGCATATTTCTTTGACTTTAGGGAGATGGATCATAATAGAACCTGCATGCTGAAATGTTAAAGGAGTCTGGCATGCTTTTAATACCTTTTTAGTACTCCCTCCGTCCCGCCTTATTGCCATGTTAAGGTTTACGATGTTTGATTAAAGTTACTTTCAACTTATTTTATCTAACTATTGGTCTAGAATTACAAAATAAAATCAATATACTTAAAACCTAGATCAAAAGCTCTACAAAACAAGAAGTCATGAAATGGCTATGCTATTTTAAACAAATGATCAATGAAAATATTTAGGAAAAAAAGATATAGTGTGACCTTGTGAATAGTCAAAGTGACTAAGATACAGGGAGGGACAGAGGGAGTATTAAAAATGATACACCTTCCCTCCCAAAAAGAGTCCTATTTGCCCTTCACGGGCAACAAGCATAAGCCGAACATAGAAACACATACAAAGTAAACACAGTAACACGAGCAAAGTAAGAGCACAGACACACATAAGCACACACACCAATACTTGAACTGTTTCCAAAAGCACAGAAAGCTCACAAGCACAAGCAATTAGCCCAAAGGTTTACAGAACTAGTCCAATCCCTGATCTCTAGGCGTTCCTATCTAAAGGTCGTATCCCCGGAAAAAACCCTAAAGTCACATGCCATGACTAGCCAACCCTTCCGGAAAGATTCTCTACCCTTTCTCACGCTCACTATCCCAATTATCTTGCATAGAATAAAACTGGGACAAAGGTACTATTACTACTATAACATGCTCACAGAGAATAGAAACTGGCATTGGTATGATCCATACGCATTTTGACCAAGGGGGTATGGATCATAACAAAACCAGAGGTTCCTTTTTTTTTGTTCATATGACAGGATGCAAAAAATGAAGGGTAGTGCTTATTATTGTGCAAAAGGAGGGGATAGCTGAGGCTAGAGAAGTCTCTTACCCTCACGGATTCCACCTCCACTTGGTGCTGTTTGGCACGAAGCTCTTGCTCGTTCCCGAGGCTGTGGCGAGTAAAGTCCTTCTTTTGCTGCTTCCTGTTTGCTCGAGCTTCAGAGAACATCACCGTGTAATTGCTGGGGCTGTTCCCGGACTTGTCGTCCCACCCTCCAAACTTGGGTACGGCTGTCCTCCCATTTCTCTGCATTTTGCATAAAAACTTCCCTGTTTAGTCATCCTATAAGTGCATGCATGCATTAGGGTGTGTTTGTTTTGAGTGAGAAAAAAAGGATGGGAGAAAATTTTAAATTTGGTTTTTCGTTTGGTCGGAAAGAAAAAAATGTGCGCCATCCTAACTTGGTCTATGCATGTTCACCAATGCAATTTCGAAACTAGGCAACAGCTAAACATTGTTCCTCTCCTAAAAAAAGCTTCATTTTTATTATTTACATGGTCAAATTATATTTTCTGTTTCTTTTGTACTCCGTATTTATTTGCTTTGATTATCTGTTACAATATAACAATCTAGTTACATTTTCTTTTCTTAGATATTTGCTTTGATCATTTTTGGTATAGTTTTTAAATTTATAAATTTTATTTTATACTTTTACATCAATTTTTGAAAAAATTGAATTCAAAATCTTTTTTACACTCAAAAATCATTAGTACATTGGGATTAATTGAGCAAGCCAGTTCTCAGCGCTTGCCAAGCATACGACGATACTTATTTCGTACCACAATCATAAAAACTCTACCATAGTACTTTAATTACTTGATACATTCAACATTTGGATTTCGGATACATAGTTTTTTTTCTTTTTCTTTTGACAATACTATGTACGTAATATTATATATGACATTAAAAGTGACACGTTTGTAGTAGTGTCAATCTTAGTGTCATCTTTTAAGGTTAAAGTAGCATTTTCGTTGTTTATATTATTGATCAATATCCCCTTGGCCATGCATATTGATCAATATATAGGAGGAAAACCTAAGGTATGACCAGTCAATCGGATCATTAATGTTAATGATTCGACTAGTCTGAGGTGAGCAACAATGTGTATCTGCAAAAAAGAAATGCACATAATAATAAGACAAGAAATCATCCACGGTGCAACGATATTATTGCGCTCGCATATTTATGTCTTCGCATATATTCAAAACATGTACATTATGAAATTGTTGTGTGCATATTTAATACTCCGGGGTAATTGTGTAATGCTTTATTGTTGCTTTATTCTTGCACCAACTCAATTGTGGTGTAACATTGTTACACCAATTCAATTGGAGCACATGTGGTGCTCTGATCGTAAAATTCATTGTTCCTGCCCCCTGATCTGGTCTAATGTTTTATTGTTGCCAAAAGAATTTTATGAGGGGTAATCTTGCAACAACTCAATTGGAGCACCAGTGGTGCTCTGATCGCAAAATTAATTATTCCTACCTCTCGATCTGGCCTCATTTTAAAAAGCATAAGTAATAAACTAAAAAAATAAATTGAACGGAAAGCATCCTTAGAACCTTTACGTTTGTATACACACGCATACAAACATATATACGTCAGTTACGTACACAAACACGCACACACACAAAAATCAATGTACAACCCGAATTAGAACTTTTATGTTTGTGTAGATAGATACACACACACACATACGTAGCAAACATTCGTTGGGTATCTCCCGAATAACCAACTGAGGTGAGGTACGCGCAATCCCAACAACATTTACGTACATACATACGTATATACATAAATATATACACACACAGATACATATAGATATATGTGTGAGCCTACCTCCATCCGGTGATGAATGGCAGGGCAAACAGGAAAGAACAAAATATGGCTCTTCTTCAGCTTAAAGCATATGTATACATATAAATGAATACATATATAAATATGTATAGAATATTTTTTTTAATAATCTGAATATTATAATTTATGTACAGAATTGGATATTGTTTTTGGCACAAGCAATTCCTTCGCCATTGGCCTCGGAGACCACTCATGTCCGATTTCTTTTCTTTGAATGCCAGAACGCAGAAATGCACGCCCCTCTCATTTTTCTTATCCTTGAAAAAAAAAAGATATTGTAATAATAGTTGTTGAGTTTAGGGTTTAGTTTATAGACCACATTAACAATAGTACTACTTCCGTCCCACAAAAAAATTCCCATTTTGACCATAAATTGGTCAAACTGTGGCACATTTTGACCTTAAATTAAATATAATCTAAATAAAGAAATGCTAAAAAAATTTGAGATATCAAAACTAGATCCTAAGATGAATCCAATTATATAAAATTTATTTCATATTTCAATATACTTTTCTCACAATTTGTAGTCAAAACGTGTAAATATTTGACTAAATACTATTCAAAATGGGAACTTTTTTGTGGGACGGAGGGAGTAAAAAATTACATTACTATAATAAAATCAAATTCTTAGATTAAATGATACTATATCAAATTAGACTTTTTAAAAAAATCTGATTAGAACCAATCAGACAAAGAGAACAAATTCATAATAGCGCGGAACGAGGCAGAATGACAACTTTGGAAGGGTTATTGGAATGACTATTTGACCATTGTTATCATAAAAATTATGATAACAATACAGAGGACACCTTTGTCGGAATCGCATAGGAGTACCTTTGCCGGAATCGCCTAAGGGGGCACATGCCCCCCATCTCCCGACTCTGTTATATATTTTAGTGTTATTTAGTGTAATTGGAATGACTATTTGACCATTGTTTTCATAAAAATTATCAAAGAAGCTCGGTGGTGCGGAGTGCACGCTTCTTGAAATTTGTTATGATAAAAGTCTTGTTCTGCCCCTAGTTATATAACTCAGGTTCCAAGAGGGCAACGCTCCCTTGGCGGGGGTTCGAAGGCGTTACCCCTAAGAGTGGGGTACTGGGATTCAAGGGGCAGCAGCCCCTTCGAGGTCTAAGTAATGTGTTAAAAATTGTTGTGTTAAAAGTCCACTTGGATTTTTATTTTTAGATTCGATACCGGACAGAGTCGCGAACGGGGTTTTTCGCCTTTCCCCGCGCCTATAAAACATTCTCGCAAGTTTGGTCATAAAAGGTAGTTCAAAATTCATCACAATCTATATTTGTTCTTGATCAATAATTTAAGTTTTATATGATTTATTTTAGAGGCGCAACTAGGGTACAAGTGCTCGTATAATTTCTTCATTTTCTTAATTTCATTTGTTTACTTGTGCTTCCATGATCCTAAGATCCACATGTGAATAGTAGACATTCTCACACTCTTAGTGGACCGACATGAAGATCTTTTTTTTCAAAGAGCCTAATTCATCTTTGATATTTGTATACTAAGATCCATAAAATGAGTGTGAAACTTAGGACCAACGAAGATATTTTTTTTATGTGAGAACTCCGTAGATAGGAGTAAAAAACTATGAAAATACCAAAATAGAAATCATAAGTCTTTTGAGACCAAAATAAGGTTTCACACTGCCATTGTTAAATTGCCACATTGTCGCATTGTAACTGCCACACTATCACTGCCACACTGCTATCCGTCGCCTCCAGCCACCAGAGTGCTGCCGCGGATCACCGACGATTGACTGAATGACTGATCACACCAATATATTACACTGTCATCACACTGCCAATATGTATTCTTACACCACACTCCCATTATACTGCTATTTTGGTCTTAAAAGACTTAGGACTCCTATTTTTGTATTTTCATATTTTTTACTCCTATTCAAAGAAATTTCCTTTTTTTTAATCTATCACATTGTTTTAACTTTTGTCTTTTTTGATCAAGCGAGTAGTTTATCACAAACAACTCTTTTATCTTTATAGACATGGATTGAATTTCTATACACAACTGGTTCAAGACTCAAGAGTCAAGACCCATATGTGTGGGACTATATCGCCTTGTTGTTGATAATTCTCGTATCCCATGATTTATTGTGCATACAAAAATTAATATAAAGTAAAAAAACGATGACAATAAATTATTCTTCTCTTCGAAATACATTTCAATCACATTAAAAAAAATAGATAAATTATATGAGGTCCCCAATTTTGGTTATCTCTTCGTATGTATTAATTTTAAAAAAGATTATAAATTAAACTGAGTAATTTCATTAACCATAGTTTGATAGAATAAAGAATGAGATGAGAATAACTGGATTGGACAATAAGAAATTTGTGTTGAATCACATTAAAAAATTGAATCAAATTGATTACTTAGTTCAACTCAAGAGCTTATATACCGATTATTTTCTCATCACTTTTCTGATGTGGGATACTCTCTAATACTCCCCTCAAGTGGAGAACCGGTTCATTTTAAATTTAACCGGTTGACCACTTGCAAGTGGACTCATATCCCCTTGATTTTATTTTTTGAGTACCAACACCTACAGGAACACGAGTTGCTGGGTATGGAATTTCATATGAGCAATCGGGTGAAACAGGCCACAGGCCGTTGGATATACATTTCACACCGGCAACTATGCTAAAGAATACCGCCGCTAGGGATGAACATCTAGACGGACGCCTTGAAAGACGAGGTGGGTTAAAATTGATTCTGATGTCATGATAGAATTAAGAATGAGGTAGGGATAACTTGATTAGGCAATAAGACACTTGGGTTGAACCACATTAAAATATTGAATCCAATCGAATACTTAGTTCAACTCAAGATCTTATATACCGATTATTTTCTCGTCACTTTCTCTCTAGTTTACTTTGCTAACCAAATTCAAGTTCTCCCATCGTGAATAGTAATAAAAGAAAAACCCAATTACGGAAATAGCTAACAGTGGAATAAAAAATTTCCACAATGACTAACCTAAGGCACGTCCTTTTAATTAAAAATGTGATACTTCTTCAATCCCGAAATAAACTTCCCATATTACCACGAGTAATACATTTATTTAATTAGTTATTAAAGTTAGTACCAGTATAACTTAAGATGGGTATGTGATGGGTCTAACCAAATCCAATCGGGCAAAGTCTAAAGGACTCGTGACAGGATGACCTGGAAGGGTTCACAAACACGTAGGTTACGCGGTTGATCTCTGGATGACCAGTCCGAACGACATGGCATCGCCGAATACTCATCAGGACATACCTTCGAGAGACCGCCCGGGTAGAGAACCAGGACTTGGTGTACTAGTACGGTAATGGCCCAACAGAGGTGACCTGGTCGGGCTAGGCACCAACGAGCTTATCCAGAAACATCCTCCATGGTACTACACGACAAGAGGAGACAAGAAGAGAGGATATGCGCCAAAGAATAAGGAACAAATGCTACAGGACAAGGAAGCATCAACTCAGGAACATGTCATGGGCCCACCGTGTGGCCAGGCATGGGCGCCCACGAGTCAAAGTCTCCCTCATGTTTCCAAGCTTCACTATAAATATGCTTGTAACCCTCAGTTGGAGGAATTAGATTTTCCCCTCTCTAAAAGCATATTGAGCAACACTACCTTGTAATACTCGTACATTCTAATAATAATTAAACTATGGGTGTTCCCTTCTATAGTCTTCCCGATCAAACTCAAGCTCTAATGTGTTTTTAGTATCTTAACCTCGCACATCGCCTTAGACCTAGTTTAGAGCTTTTTGCCCGGGTGACTAATTTACACTATCAGTATTATGTGATTGATCATAAAATATTTGAACAAAATCAAATTGAAAGATTGAATCCAATCAATTACATAATTCAGTTCAAAAGTTTATACTCATTCATTTTCTCTTCTAGTTTTGATCTTGGATTCTAACATCGCCCCTCAAGTGGACTACCAAATCATTTTGAATTTAACTAGTTGACTATTTGCAAATGGCTTCTTATTCCTTTGAAATTTATATTTGAGCAACAAGACCTAAAGGATCACAAGTCGATAGATATGGACTACAAGCAACCAAGTTTTTGTTCCATTCTCCAACTATAACTTGCTAGTCCATTCTACAAATCTTACCTTGCTATAAATAAAAAAAAATTATATTTAGAGGGTGTTTGCCTGACAATGTGATACTTTTAAGAATTTAGCTTCTCTTTTGGGTGGTAATTATTTTACTCTGTTTGACATGCCAATTTCTGCTTCACCACTTTTTACACATAGAACACATTTGCAGAGAAGCAGATATACTTTGTATAATTTTTCTACTTTCAACTTATAAAATTAATTAATCCACAAATTAATCACCTTCAAACATCCTCTTAGCGAGTTAAACCCATAGAAAAAGCGATTGGGTTGCTATGGTTGGAGATGCTCTAAAAGCATGGTGAAACTAGGCAGAGAGTTCACTTGCCAAATCATGTCTAACTATTTCTAAAGAAAAACAGAATGAAAGAAAAAAAACATGACAACATAGGGTAACACCCATGAGACTGAGAATGTATAATAATTGTAATTATAATTATAATCATTATAATTATAATAATAAGATGAATTAATGACTGCTTACTTCTGGGCACAATTCTCATTTACAAAAGTGCCTCCAAGAATCTCTCTCTCTCTCTCTCTACTTTCTCCATCTGTATGAGAAGACAAAAAAAATTAGTTTTTACTCCCGGGGTCGGGCGAGCCAGAGAGAGCTAAGCGCCCGAAGGCGAGAGAAGAAGTCACTGATGCCCAGAAAGGCACGGGCCGCTTGTCGAGTCGTCAATATCCGATGCATTTGTTGCAATGTCTGCCTCCTCAGGTTATCTGCCTGATACCAAACCAACCACAAAAACTCAGGTTATTAGTACAGTTATTGATGAACATAGACTAATATGTCAAGAACAAAACGCCAGAATTGGATGAAAGGATTTGATGGCAGAAAATCTAGCGTGCATGAATTAGATTGCACATTTTTCGATAGCACAGGGACTTCAAGGACTAAATTGCAAATTTTTTACAGTACGGGACCTCGGGGACTAAATTGCATATTTTTCTATAGTATTTTGACCAAAACTTTGCTGCTAGTACTACTTGCTAGAAATGGATGGAATTCACAGTGTCAATTAGGAGTATGAAACCTTTTGTACACGGACAAAAATTACACCAACTCCATATTTGCACTTCACATGCAAGATTTGTCCATGTCAATGTGTGTCGCACGGGGTTTGTTTGTGACACGGAAAAATCATGTCTATGAAGTGTAAAAACTAAAAATTAGGGGTTGATGTAACATTGGTGTACACCAAGTGTGGTAGCATTATGAAACATTCAGTCTTGAGGACAATATAACCATATAAGCCTATTATACACGTTTTCAACCCTCATAGAACAATAACGTTAGCCAGAACTCCTAAATAGGGTGGCAAAGAAAACAATTCATTCTTCTAAATTTCTAAAGCAAAAAAAAAAAGTACTAACAAAAACAACAACCCCAGTATAATCCCACAGAGGAGTGTTGTCTTCCAAGTGTTCCAAAGAAAACGATTTTTATATGTAAGTAGGTATTTATTTATTAGGGTTCAGGGGCTCTTTCCAAGTAGGGAGAAACTTTAATAAAATTGTCAGTCGGTATGTATATTTTTCTGCACGGATACTTTTCTTGAATTCTGCGATGAGCTCATGAACCTAAGAGGAAATACTAAAAGTTTTTAGGGTGAAAATTATGGATGCACAATGATGAGATTAAGGTTAAGTTTTTTTATTGAATACATGGTTAAGTTGACCATGAAGAAAAGGAATAATAAGAGGTTTAGGACTCACTCCACGATTTCTAAGGGATTACACAATGGACTACCAAAAGAAATTGATTGATCACCTGGCGGATAAACCCCTCAAGAGTTCCTAGTTTCCCCATTGCCATGGCCATTTGCCCCATGTAATTTGCAACATTTCCCGAGGAGCCCGAAGTGCCTGAAGGGCCTAAAGACCCAGCAAGAGTCTCAGCCAAGGATTGTTGTAATGCTTCCATTCCCTGGGATAATGCTTCTTCAGCCTGTTGGGATGACTGTTGTAGATTGTTGATGGCCAGTAATTGTTGCTCAGTTAAAGGCTCCAACTGAGTTATAAGCATCTGTAAGCAATTCATATCAGATGTTTTTTACATTAAAATACAGCAGTTCAATAAAAAAAGAGAACCCGCAAATGAAGTATAAGACATATTCCCTCCATTCTCAAGTTTGTTAAGGAAATACTTTGGCTTTTAAGGTGATCATTAATTTTGTCATGAACCGACAAACATACTCATTTTGGCTTTTAAGTAACAGGCAGAAGTGAGAAATATACAGAGGAACGACTTAGTCATTTTACTATGCTATACTTTTTGGATTGCTAAATGACCAGTTATTTGTGAACAACCTGCATTTAGTGAACAGTTAGTTGAACATGAAAATGGAGGGAGTAATTCAGATGGAAAATGGGATACTATTTACAAGTCAACTCAAATTATGATATTCAACGTTATCAGCCCAAAGCCATCGAAAAATACTCCCTCTATCCCAAAATGCATTTTAAACCTTCATTTTCCATCCGTCCGTCCCAAATGAACTCTACACTTCTCTCATTTCCTTTTTAGGGAAGGAATATGTGGCTCACAACATTTCTCTCTTCTAACAAAAATCAACCAGAAACTTTTGACTTTTCAACAATTAACTTTACTTCTGAATATATTTTCAATTCCCTTTTGTAATATGATCCTCTTGTATTTAATACTGTGTATAAATAAATAAAACTTCCATATTTAAATACTGAGAACATTAAAGATTCTATAAAACATGTAGGCATATGAGTAGATGACCATTTAATTTAATTATAAGAGGATATTAAAGAAAATTAACTATGAAAGAAGATGTAACTTGACCAATGAATAGCAACTAAGACAGGTAAAATGAGGCTTAAGGATTACACCATATGATTTAATGGCCCTCACCTTGAGGAGTTCAGATGAACGAAATCCACCCAACCACAGAAAGCATCTCTCAGCAGGAGTTATCCACATGCCCGACAAAATATGGAAGACATCAGCTTTTGCAGCATCTCCTTTTATCCTAAAAATGTCTTCATAATGTGCCATAATGCTATCGACAATTATCCGAAGTTCAGCATCACCAGCATGTGCATTAACAGCTCCTCTTAGCTCATTAATCCGCCGGTTGTGCTCCTCCAGCCATCGAGCATATTCGACATCAAATGCCAACGCTCCTAAAAAAGATGGAGGTATGAACATAAAAATGGAGATCATAAGTTGAACTGGAATAACATTAAAACTCCATGACAAAGATCATCTTGCACTATATATTTGAAAATATTTGACCAACAGCAAAGTAGAAAGTTTGATTTTATGTAGTACTCCGTATATTATACTCATAGACAATCTATCTTCTCCTTTTCATGCACGATTTGCCACATTTAACAAAATGGGGTTAAGACTTGGCTGCAGCTGTTGTTGTATTGTACAGTAATATACTACTTTGTACCTTACACCTAGTGGAGATTTTTATGACATCTAAATAGAACCCTTATCTGCATCTTCATTAGAGCTCACATCCCCCTCAACATCCTCATTTCTTCCACTCATATCTTTCAAACGTGAGTGTTCTTCACTGTCCATCACTGCTCTATACAAAATAGCCAGTTGGACCATTGCCCGATAAAACTTCCCTTTCAGGTTTGTTGAAATCCTCTTGTTGCAAAGGACACCTGCAACAAGCTTCCACTTTGCCCAAGCCGCTCCAATACGATGAATAACACCTCCATCCATCTCCCCATCCTCAATGCGGATCTAAGGTACCGAAACCTGTCCCTTTTTGGCACTGGATGTGAATCAATCCTCACTTTCACTTGCAACTCACTCATCTTACCATTGAAGCAACATATCATGTACTCGTACTTAGTCTTGTTCGACCTCAAACCTTTGTGTTAGAGTACATCCCACATCGGAAATCTATGAGTAAAATAATCGGTATATAAGCTCTAGAGTTGAACTAACTAATCGATTGGATTCAATCTTTTAATGTGGTTCAACCCAAGTGTCTTATTGCCCAATCCAGTTGTCCATACCCCATCCTAAATTCTATCATGGTATCAGAGCCAGTTTTAGCCCATCTCGTTTGTCAAGGTGTCCGTCTAGACGTTCATTCCTAGCGGCCCGTTAGTCTTTAGCCCAGTTGTCCGTATGGAGGTTGTACCCAACTGTCTGTGGCCTGTTTAACACGATTGCTCGTCTGGAAGTTCATACCCAGCGCTCGTGGTCCTTTAGGTGTTGGCGCTATAAAAAAAAGTCAAGGGAATGGGAGTTCATTTGCAAGTGGTCAACCGGTTAGATTCAAAATGGCCCGGTTGTCCACTTGAGGGGGAGTGTTAGAGTACATCCCACATCGGAAATCTATGAGTAAAATAATCGGTATATAAGCTCTAGAGTTGAACTAACTAATCGATTGGATTCAACCTTTTAATGTGGTTCAACCCAAGTGTCTTATTGCCCAATCCAGTTGTCCATACCCCATCCTAAATTCTATCACTTTGGATTCCAAAGTCTGCCTCCACACTTCCAGCCTTTCATTGAGTCCCTCACAAATCTCGTCTATCATAAC